CTTCCTCCTCTCATTCCTGTAATGGGAGAGCCGCCTGTTTCTTCTTCCTCTGTTCCTCCCTCCCTCGTTGTTTTTATTCCATCCTTCCTCTCTCCATCACCTTCTCCCTCCCTCCCCTCTCTTCTTTCCTTGCGTTTTCTTCTTTTTTTTCTCTACTTGCTCCAGCAGAACAGGAACCAGCAGCTCGATCCCATCTCCTTTTTGTATTGCTACTACATGGGTAATTCCTTTATACCTGGCCTTCCTGGGACTCTGGTTTGTCTTCTCAACGCAGGGCTCAGGTTGGGGGACCAAAGCTCAGGTAGCTGTGGGTGTAGTCCTTGCTAGGAGTTAGGGACTTGCTTTCTCCCCTGGACTGCTGCAGACTGTCAGGGAGTCATTAGGTGAGCTCGTGGATGGACGTGCTTCACGTTGGTGGAGGCTGCACATCCTCACATGTTGGCACCTGATGTTTGGTGCCGTCCAGTTAGTTCCAACTCACAGCCACCTTGTGTGCAAACGAATGAACTACTAGCCAGTCCTGCCCCACCCACTGGTCGTATGTGTAGGCCCATCAGTGCAGTCACTTTGTGAATCCACGTCGTTCAGGGTCTTCCTCTTCTTTTGCTGCTCCTTCATGTTACCAAGCATGATGCCCTTTTCCAGGAAATGGTCTCACCTGATAACATGTCCAAAATTCATGAGATGAAGCCGCACCATGCCTGCCTCTAAGGAGCATTCTGGCTGTACTTCTTCCAAGACAAATGTGTTTGTTCTTTTGGCAGTCCATGGTATTTCAATATTCTTCACGAACACCGTAATTCAAATGAATCAATTTATCTTCCCAGCTCCCTTGTTCAATGTCTGACTTTCACATGCATATGAGGCAATGGAAACACCATGGCTTGTGTCAGGTGTACTTATTCCTCAAAGTAACATCCTTGCTTTTCAACACTTGAAAGAGGTCGTGTGCAGATTTACCTAATGTAACCTGTAATTTGATCTCTTGACTGCTGCTTCCATGAACATTGATTGTGGATCCAAGCAAGACAAAATCTTTGAAAACTCCAACCTTTTCTCATTGTCTCTCATGGTCCAGTTGTGAGAATTTTTGTTTTCTTTACATGGAGTTGTAATCAATGCTGAAGACTGCAATTCTTGATCTTCATCAGCAAATGCTTCAAATCCTCCTCACTTTTAGCAAAGTGTGTCAGCTGTATATTACAGGTTGTTAATAAGCCTTCCTCCAGTCCTGATGCGACATTCTTCTTCATATAATCCAGTTTCTCTGATGATTTGCTCAGCATACAGCTTGAACAAGTATTGTGAGGGAATACAACCCTGATGCACACCTCTCCTGATTTTAAAATATGTACTGTACAGCTTCCATATGCGCACAATGAAGTGTTCTGGAATGCTCATTCTTGTCAAGGCTCTTCATAGTTTGTTATGGTCCACATAGACGGACGCCTTTGCATCGTCAATGAAACACAAGAAAACATCTTTCTGGTGTTCTCTGATCTGACATTAGCAATGATGTCCCTTCCTGGTCCTCTTCTGAA